GGGCACGTCATAAAATTCCTTTTGTACATTCTTGTAAAAATGTATGCTTCAAAGAGTTAAATAGGTGGAATATTCGACGGAAAATAAAATATGCCTTGAATAATAGGATCGTAAAAGAAAAAATACTAATGCGTTATTTTTTTGGTTAACAACGTTAGTAAACATAAATAAGCGACAAATATTTTCCACAGCGAATTGTATATGTATATAGATATAGACATAGGTTGTAAAGTAAAAAATTCAAGTAAAATTCAATATAATTATAATGGCTAACTGATTTTACTAGGAATCCAAAAAAAATTATCAATATTTTTAATTTATAAATTATTTTCTAATCAAGAAGCAAGTTACTGCAAATTCTAGAGTCCTACTAAATTCTTGAGTTACTTATTTTATAGGTATACTCTCTCTTTTCAATTAAATAAGATTTTCTATTAAATAAGAATAAATATTAAACATCCTAATCCATATACAAATTTTCAGTTGTGTTGGGATGCTTAAAATAATTAAAAACCGCCCAATGGGATTTGTAGTACCCTGTGCGACCGTAAGATCCGTCGGTAGATAGACCTCGCCGTCTTCGCGAATCCATGCTTCGACAGTAACGAATTCTGCGATGTAACTGGGGATGCTGCATTTTAATATCGCGCTGTTTCCCCTTATAACGTATTCGGTCAAGATCTCCGGATTATAAGGCTGAGTGACGACTATATGTGGGGGATACATATTAAAACAATGTTCAATTTAATCAATAAGAAAGCTCGCTTTGTTTAAAAATAGCCCCATTGTATGTGAAACGGAATGCGTTCATCGCTTTTAATCTTTCGTATTATCTGTAGATGAAAAATTTTCCGCAAGTAAATTGCAAGAAAAAAATTAGACGTTAATAAACAAGAAAGTTCAAGCCTTTTAGAAAAATAAATCAAGCGAATAAACAATATTTTTATTAAAACAAAAAGCAATTGAAACTATAGGAGTAATTTGAGAACTTTCTGTATCGCGAGATGCCCCATGAATATTTTTGTATATCGGAAATAATGCGAAACAAGTCATAATAACGTAAATCAAATTTCAAGGAAGTATCGCTTCTATCCTCTCGCACTTGACATTATTTTATCTTGTCAAAATAGTATGCTTACTGACATTACACCATGCTGAAATGAGAATTCAAGAACTTTTCCTACGCAACTTCTCGAACTTAACTACGTTCGCGTTCGTAGACACGATGTCGGCTTATTTTCTTAGGCCTATCGTAATTCGCGACGTGAGAGCCACCGGATGGTTCATTAACTCTCACGTATATATGTGCTGCCGCCGCCGTTCAGCCGCCGTCAGATCAGACCGCGTGGCCAGCGGAAACGAATCGTTACCACGTGCCACTTTGAACTTTGACAAAGTTAGGCGAGGGGACAGGGTGTCTGAGTAGCAGGGAGAGACAGGGGGGTGATATAACCGGAAAGAGAATTTCCTCGCTCTGCGTACTCATCGTATGTACTCATTGGCCGACGTACTTATCAGCGATCATCATTCAAATTGTACAACGCTTACATATATTATAAGTTAATCAAGATATAC